GGCCTGGCCAGGTGATGGATCTGATGTACGCATTAGTGGTGGCAGAACTTGAAGGTGGAAGAGCGCCTTTCATAGTGGAGTAGCTTTTGGATTTGCACAAGATTTGTGTAACTAAACGTGAGGGGGAATTGGTGTGTTCTAGCAGGTTGCTGGCCTTTTGGCCTTGCAGTAGGCTTTGTTTGTTCAGGCTTTTCCCAGGTAAGTAGTCTGGCTGTTCTGGGTTGTTCCTTTTGGAGTTACTTTTTGGGGGACATTAATTGAATTTAGTTGCTTTTGTGTTTGATTGTTTTACATGAATGGTGCTCACGATGTTAAGTTTATCGTGAGATTTGGAATCTGTATCTCATAAAATTAAAATCAACGTACAATATCTGGAAGTATTACTTTTAAAAATTTCGCTCAGGTATTTTGGATCATCTTATTCATATGTTGCACATTCACTGAAAGGACAACAGAATTTATAAAGAACACCTTTGCAAACAGTTTTTAAAGTTGACATCAGAACCCTTTTTAAAGCATGAAAAATCTTTTTTTTTTTAATCAAAAAGTGTTTAACCAGTATGGTCTGCAAGGCATTCATGCAGATAGTAAATGAAGTTGGCTGAAAGGAAGTTGACAGTAATTGGGTAGTTGTGTAACTAAACTAGCTAGTGATGGACTTGTACATTTTACTCGCTATTTCCTCTGCTCAGTTTCCTGTGTTGATTCAGGGAAGAAAGTTACCTCCTCGTCTAGCACAGTAATCCCAAATGGGATGGACAGGGGATTAGACCTCTTGTTGCTGGTCCAAAACAAAAACCGGGAGGTGCCAAATTCCGTTTGTCAGAAGGTCTTCCTTGTTAATTTGTGTGTCTTACTATCAGTGAAGTTGGAGAAAATACTTTTGATTTTCTAGGAATTATCTAAGCAAAAAATTTTGGATGTTACATTTAAAAAAAGAATAGTGAACTTGATTTGCATATGCACTCATCTTCATGCAGCTTCTGTTTCCTCTATGCAAATGTGGCCATTTTTAGAGCAACTCATGCAGATGTCTGCTCCATGCTCTGTGGAAGTTCATATAGTTCAAGCTAGGAGCAGTTCCTTAGCTATAGCTTTAACTCCTTAAAGCGAGAACATAAACAGTGTGGTGAGCTTTTTAGTAATGTTTTACAGCTTTCAACAGGATAGTGTTCAGTGTGGAGCTTGTTTTTTGTTAGTTCTCTTTATAATGTTTAGTAGTATATGAGCAACACTGTTTTGTCCTTGATTACATAAAGGAAGGAATAAAATTTCTTTTTGTGACATGCTACCTTTTTTGATACTTTTGACACTTGATTTCTGTTAATATTTGCTTTCTGCAAAATGAAGTACAAGCTTAAGGTTTATATTTTGGACAGATAACATGCTGGGTTTGTGTGACTAGAATTAAACACTTTGATTTCCCCCGATATGGCAAGAGTTAGATTCGCATAAGTTTGTCTAGTTACAATATGGAGCTCCCACTTTTAGTCCATGCCCCAAGAGCAGCAGGGGAACCATAGCGTTGGGGACATGAGGGGAGAGCGTGGGAACATTCTCTGCTTCACTTTTTCAGGAAAAGATGCAAAAGGAAGAATGTTTATTTTGAACGTAGCATGTTGGAGATCTCGTTATAGAAAGTGTAAGACACGTAGCATTACCCACATGCCTAGTGTTGGGAACTCTCTCTGAATAAGTATCCTTTTAGATGATGAAAATATAAGCTGCACTCTTTGAACTTTTTTGTTGATTTTATTACAAGGGAATATTGAAGAATTGAGTAAGTACCTGCAGGTTTGACTATGAAATTGTCATGTTCATAGCTGTAGAAAATATGGAAACATCATTTTTTCTATTAATTGCATTTATGTCCTTTTAGGATGTAGCAGTTTTACGTATTGGCTAAATATCAGGCTTTCTAATGATCAGTTCATTGTCTTAGCTTGATTGTGAAAAGCTCAGTGTGTAATCAGAACCACCGAATTGTAGTGCATCTCTAATATGTCTAATTCAGTGCTGTATAGCTTGAAAACTCCTTCTTAGCTTTTTCTACTTTTGGCGTTAATTAATATTTAGATATTTCATGATAATTTCTTAAGTTCCTCTGCAATGTGAAATTCATGTCTACTTAGGGAAAATAATTTATATGCATTTTATAAGTAAATTGGTACTTAACCAACTCTTCTGTTCCATCTACATTTATATGCAATCAAGAAAACCAATGTAATCATGCTTTCCACTGTAAGGCAACATAGTTTGTAAAGCAAGGAGAAAAATGTTTTCAGCTGTGCATGTGATATCAAGACCACCTAGAAAATTCCATTTTAACGGGTTTATTGCATTTTGACTTATTCAATGTGAATATTGAGAGAAGTATAAAGTAGTTAGGAAAGAAAGTACTCAGAGTATTTTAATAAGGGATGCTGAAATGCGACGGGGATTTCTGCTGTGTTTTATCAGTTTATCATGTTTTAAAAATTCAAAAGAATACAAAAGAATATTTGCTGTAGATCTCAGAAGGAGAACTGTCTGCAGCACCAACTTCCTGAAAAAATTGTGTGTCTGTTGTTTTAGTGGGTGTGAGACTATCTGGCTCTATATATTGTTTTGTCCTGCTATGTCTTGCCTGCTTTGTTATCTGTGGGATTTTTGTATCATATATATGTGTCAAAACACATTATGTGAATGAATTGTTCAGACAGGTGGAAATAAGAAATTTTGACTGAAAATAAAATCTTTATTCCCTAACCATTTTGACAATATTAATACAGGTTCCATATCTCAAATATAGGAGCTAAAGGAACATTTTGTTGTTGAATTAAAAGGCTTCTTCCTTTTATATCTGGATTATTCTTTCAAGTGCTCAGGGGGAAAAAACCACACTTATGAATTACTGTTTGATATTAGCCTTGTATGTCCCAATTGCTGCAGCAAGGAAAAGAATGTCCTTATTTGATCAAATCAAGTTACGTGTATGTGTAGGAGAGGGAGAGAGTGGCCCAAAGTGTGACTGATAGCTGGGACTCAATAAACTGATTGAACAAATTGTATTTCTCTACATTATACTTTCCTCCTGATAATGTCCTGACATTGTTAATCAGTGTCTTGCAGTCTCAAGAAACAGAACGTTTCTCTCTCAAAGCGAGGAGCGCTGTAGAAAGTTACCTGTTCAGTATGGGGTTCTGCGCCCCCACAACCTAGCTTGTGGGATGGGGCAATGCAGTTCTGACTCTGGCACAGAAGGAAGGAAGGTGATTGAGGTGGGATTAATTAACAAGCTATAAATTCATAGTGCATAAAAAAACCCCAAACTCATCACACACACGTGTATAAATGTGTGTGTGATTATATAAAATGTGTATATAAAGATATGTAAATGAGCTGCTGGGATAACTGTGACCATTTTATGGATATATGACTCCAACCTGTAGACATGATCATGAGATGCCAAGCCCTGTCCAGTTAAGAGCTGTGTTTGGCCAAGGGTAAGGGCCTAAAAATCTTCATGCCCTTTTCCAGAAGCTCCAGTTCCTCCAGCCTGGCCTCAAATGTCTCCTGCTGCAAACTGACCCTTTCTCACTGCTCAGGCTCTGCTCACCTCCCTACAAATGCCTTCAGAAAGCACTCTTGGCTCCCCAGCTGCCCTGGAGTTTGCTGGTAGGAGCAGGGCAGTACTAGAAGCTGTATTTCATGTCTGGTGAGAGTGTTACTTAGGCCAATCTGTTAGGCAATTATGCCTCATATAGTACGTTGCATGTGATAGATGCTTTCTGTCATCTGAAATGGGATGTGTATGTTGTATTTTTCAGCTAATGTCAGTTAGATATAGACAGATTTGTCTGCTGTTGTACTGAAAAAAATTGAGGACCTGTATCTTTGATTTAGTAAATTATTAAAATGAATAGGAGTCTCAGATTTCTGCAATAAATTATGGTGCATGAAAAAAGGTTTCATTGACTTAATTCTTAAATTATTTAAAAAGGATGAGGTTGGAAAATGTGATTAACTCCCCCTGAGCTCTGCATCAGTAGCCTTCCACTGTTCCTAACTGTATAAGGGTTGCACTAGGGATTAGCTATAGTCTTAAGTTTGACAGTCTAGAATGGGAGAATTAATAAGAAAATATTCAGCAGTGCTGAGTTTAGTAACAGGATGACACCAACTTGTAACTGCTTTTCAAACTGCCAGTTTAAACCCTCCCTTCCTTTTGATCTTGCGTATTGTTGAGAACGTATGCCTAGAGAAGTATACCAGGACACTGCAGGAGTTAAAATCTTAAACCTTCTCATTGTTCCGTAACATTTTAAACTTTTTTTTTTTCCCCTTCACAGGAAATGACCTAGAGGCCTTACAAATATATTTGTGCATTTTTGTTCTGAGTCTACAACTGAGGGCAAATGCAGTCTGGAAGCACCACTTCTTAATGTTACAACGGAAACAACTACCTCAACAAACGCAGAAAGGGGAAGAAGGCTTGCAATAATAAACACTCTAATTTTTAATAGCTTATACTTGCAAAGTCTTCTGTAAGTCCAGATTTTTTTTTTTTTTCCTCCCTCCAGTGTTAAGAAGAGACACTACAAGTAAACTAATTTGGCAGACTGGATCTGTCAGGACATTTGAAGATACTTGATCTGCTGACATGAGGATTTGCTTTTTCAAGAAAGGAGCCTCTGCACTGCTTTTATAATCGCTGTTGATCGGTGGTTTGCTCCACTTTTCCTGATATTGTTAATGGGGAAATTGTATTAGGGTATTGCTTCTGAAACTATTATTTGCCTTGACAAACATAACTTTTGTAGACTTAACAGCAAGTAACAATAATATGCTCATGAAGAAATCGTAGGCGATAACTTCTCTGCTCCAGTACTGCTTTTCTGTGTGCAGAGTGGAATGCCAAACGAGAGAGAGCATTATTAAGATACTTCAGCTTGCTTTTTGAGTACCGTTTATAACTGCAGCAGGGCTGCACTGAACACTGAAAATACAAAGTCAGCAAATCTGCTGCCTTTCTCACTGCTGATACAGATTATACAGACGCTTGCCTTTTTGAAATGCCTTTTGTGAAACCTATGTACACAGTCCTCCACTGTTACTGTACATAACTATATATTTGAGGAAGGAATTTGACAAGTGATTGTTAATTCAAGAAATCTTTGGACAAGCACTCACTTATGTATTGCTGTAGTGCACAAGAAAGCAAAATGGACTATAAGCGGCGCTTTTTGCTTGGCGGGTCCAAGCAAAAAGTGCAGCAACACCAGCAGTATCAAATGCCTGAGCTAGGCAGGACCCTGAGCGCACCGCTGGCATCTACAACCCCGGCATCCCCTTTGGTCTCCTCAGCTGCTGCGGGCAGCTGCAACCACCCTGTGTCCCACACTACTCCGATCGCAGACATCCAGCAGGGAATCTCCAAATACCTGGATGCACTCAACGTGTTTTGCCGTACGAGCACTTTCCTTACAGACCTTTTCAGCAGTGTATTTAGGAACTCGCACTATTCTAAGGCAGCTATGCAACTGAAAGACGTGCAGGAACATGTCATGGAAGCAGCGAGTCGACTCACAGCAGCAATAAAACCAGAAATAGCAAAAATGCTGATGGAACTGAGTGCAGGAGCTGCAAACTTTAAAGATCAAAAAGAGTTCAGCCTGCAAGACATTGAGGTAAGTTACCTTGGCAGATATTGTTTTGCATGTGAATTTCTATCATTCCTTCTTAGTTGGACTTCTCTTCAATATCACTTCTACACCAAAAGTTCTCTCAGACTTGCTCGGTATTTGTGGGCAACGCTGGTGAAAAGAGAAACGCTTTGTTTCTTATGTTTTCTTCTTGAAAGTATTAAGTCATTTGCAGTGCCTGACTTCCCGCTGTGTTGAATTAGGTATTTAGTAGGTATTTCTGTATAAGAACTTGTACTCTATTTAAAGATTTCATGAAATAAGAAAGATGAGTTACAGTTAAATTGTACTACCTATATAATTCTAAATTATAATCTTCTATATGATTTAAACTTATAACCAGCAATCCAACTTTCTCCTTTGGGGAAACCATGCTTGGTTTAAAAATAATAATGCAAAACAAAAAAAAAGCCCAACCCTGCCCCTCCAAACCAACTAAATAAAAGTTTTAAACAATTTTCTGTTTTATGTTAGTTAATATTTCTAATGATATTACACGATCATATTCTAAATTGACCTATACTTTCCGTAGTATTAACCATTCTGAGGGGAAACCGGAACACTTAGGAGTGGCGTATTGTCATCAGTGTTTATGTAAAACTGCATATTAGTTGGCTAATGATTGAAACTTGTGTAAAATGATGTTTTATCACTCTTCGAAACATTTTTGTCTTTTTGAGCTGTTGTGCTTAAAAGGAGAATACCACGCTAGCATGATAAATTTGTGCTGTAAAAATTTGTCATGACTCTGCTATAATTTTCGTATGTTGGCAGCGAGTGCCCAACAGTCAGTTGAGAGAATCGCCGACTCCCATCATGCCTGGCTGGGTATTTCTGGGTGTTTCTCCTCTAGTAGATGTCTTAATTATGTAACAGGCAGTGTTAAGTGAAAGTCACATGAATCTCTGGTGTTTTAAGTAGTTCGTCATGTTTTGACATACTTCTTTACAGCAGACTTTGCAAAGCTATTCCTACAGAATTCCATCCTGAGTGGAAAACTTGTTTTTGAGTTCTCTTGATTTAGATTTCAGGTAACTTTGTAAGGATGAATGTTGTACACACATGCTTATAAGCATTGTCTGCTTTCTGTAACTGCACAACTTCCAGATGAAGTAGTTAAGTAGAATGCTATTTGTAGTACATAATTGTAGTGAGAAATATGACTGACAGTTTTCAGTGTTGTATGCTTAGTATAGAATGAAGTAAGATTGGCCATATATTTGTTATAAATGTCTCCTATAGACTGGTATTTTTGAAAACAACCTAATCACATTGCTATGTTTAGTTAAGGCTGTAGGAAAAAATTTTTTTTAATTTAAAAATCAGTATGAGTTTATGTAATTAAAGACCTTGATAATACCTATGCTGAAAGACTTTTTTTAATTAAAAAAAGCAAAACCATATGAAACACTACTTGTCTTCTAGGGTTTTTTTGTGAACTTTGAAACTCTGTCTTGCAAAGTGTTGGCAACTATCTGTAGACTGCTTTTATAACCTAGTCAAGTAACTCTAGGTTGTAATTCATACCCTGCCCCACGCACTGTGTGGGGAGAGTGCCGCTTCAGCAGCGAGTGGCGCTCACAAGCAAAAGCAAAGCATTGTTTGTGTAAGTTGGCTGCATGTCCTGCCAGCTTAAAGCAAAGGTAGAGAAACTTGCTTTGGTCCCTGCTTTACCTGTGTAGACCTAACCCTTGTTCGGGAGCTCCACATGTATCTGCAGTGCTGTCTTCACCAGGCAGCTCTGGGATAGGAACAAATGTGAAGAGAATGCAGGCAAAACAGCTGGCTTCCTTGGTTTTCCTTGTAGGCACAGCTTGTAGAAACTGACCCCTTGTCACTGTACTTTTCTTAGACCTTTTCTTAATTAAAAGTGCATCTTGCACATAGCTTTAAAAAAAGTCAATATGCAACATTTATGGGAACTTTTGTGTGATGAGACGAGTATTGCATTCTGCTTGTGCTTAAGAACCAGCAAAATTTAAAGCATAAGCATTTGACACTGACTCACATGATTGTTTTGTAAGTCAGCCAGGGAGCGTGGTTTAGGTGACTTAGGTATAGGGGCAGGCTGGTTGGATGGTTCTGCCCAGGAAGCAGGTACCAGTTGCTCACTGTTGAAACAGACCTTCACGGAGGTCAGTATAGAGAGTATATTTAAGTTTGTCAATGACTTGAAAGTACGTGATGTAAGCATGCTGGAAGAGCTGCTGAATTAAAGATAATCTTGATTTGAACAAATGAGTTTTCCAGTTGGGATGGAATTCAGAGGGGAAAACTGAATATTACAATACTTAAATAGAAATCTTCAGCCTCACAAGTGGAGCCCGCTGGGCAGCAGTTCTGAAAAACAGTTCTGGGGCTTATGGTAGTTGTATGTTGAGTAGGAATCAATATTGTGCGGTTGCAAATAATAAATCAATGTTCTTGCCATTGTGCAAAGAGGCAGTTGTCATGTATATAACATGACTATAACCTGCAAGAACCATGAAATAAGCATTCAACTCTCTTCACTGGGTGTTATGGCCTTAAACACAACAGTGCACTCGCGCACCACTGCTGTTACACTTAGAAAAATAGTGAGCAACTGGAGAGGCACCAGAGGAGAGTAACGAGTAGTCAGACGTCGAGGAAATAGGACTTCAGAGGACAAATTGAAAAGACTGACTCTGCAGAAGAGAAGACTAAGAAGGAAAAAGCAGAATTGTTCAGGTATGTAAGAAGCTGCCAGAAGACATGGCAATGTTCTGTTCTTCCTGTCCACATAAGGTGGAGCAAGAGGTAATGAACTTAAATTTCAGAAGGAAAGATTCATATTAGATGCTGTGGAAGTACTGTGTAATGTTAGTGAAGCACTGACATGGATTGTTCCACAGCATAGAGAGCCTCTGTCATGCAGAACTTACAGAACCAGTTAAACCTGCATCCAGCAAAACTGACCCCAGTGAAATCACTCCTGTAGGATGACCTTTTGAGAGGCTCTCCTGCTCTGCTTTTCTGTGATTTGAAGACTGAGCTATTTATGCTGAAGTTCTAATTAAAAAAAAAAGTGTAGTTTATTGGTTTGTGGGTTTGTTTTGGTTTTTTTTACCACCCCACCCCCCCCAC